ACATGACAAAAACTAAGATTTGAAGGGAGGGACTTGCCCAGAATGAAGCAGTAAAGATGGATCTGGATTCAGTCCTGACTGATTCTAGAGCTTGGGGCTCTTTCCACAGATTCTTTTGTGAGCTTTTTCCCGTTTTAAAAATGCGGGGGCTAAAAATAAATGAGGGGGCTGTGAAAAGCTTGTTGGAAACTTCCATTATTTTTAAATTCTATTTTTCCACCAGTTTTTGGAAACCCACTCATTTGTCAGATCTGATGAATAGTTTGATTGTGAAAGACATGGGGGAAGTTCATGACCTTTAGTATTTTTGAATGAGTCACTTTCTACCTTTAGGGATCCATCAGAGATGGGTTTGCTGTATGCTCACCTGGGGAAATCTTCACCTTGGACCTTTGTCTCGACTGCCATCTAGCCACTTCTTGGGCTTCCTAAAACTAGTCCTGCTCAGAAAAAAGGCAAGACCCTTTGTTATTGGTTAAAGGCTGCTGGAAAACTAATAGGATGTCTGAGTAGCATTGCTATTTTGAAAATATATATACATAGGAAATACATATATGGATGTGTGGAGCCCTGATGGTGTAGTGGACTACATGTTAGGCTGCTCATCACAAGGACATCAGTTCGAAAGCACCAGCTGCTCGAAGGGAGAAAGATGAGGCTTTAGACTTCTGCTAAGAGCCTCAGAAACCCTGAGGGACAGTTCTATAGGGTTGCACCAAGTCAGAAATGACTCAATGGCCTTGAGTTTGGAGGTGTGTGTGTTAATTTAATTTTCCACAAAGTTCGTTTACCTACATAATAGACAAAGAAATAGAATCTAACCCACCTCCCCGTTGGTAGTGGTGCCTGGCTACTCTCCAGCAACGACTACTCTCTGAGCGCCAGAAACTACTTTCTTTACTATTTACCCTTAAATTGTCTTTTTTTAAAAATTGTCCTTATTTTTGAACATTACATAAACAGAATCATACACTATGCACTCTTTTGGGTCTGGCTTCTTTTTGAGTAGCTTTCCTATTTTTATTTCTATAAGTACACCAGGAACAGTAGCTCCAGAAAGAACAATAAATAATTTTGTTTTAGGAGTAAACATGAAATATGTTAAGTCTTACCATTTTAGATGCTTAAGATTCTTTGAGAGAGAAGAGGAAAAGAACAGGTAGAGAAAAGAATAGAAGGTAGGTTCTAGGACAATTACATGCCAATAAGACTGCTAAAAAGAGGTAGGGTTTGTGTTTTGGTTCAAAATTGTTCTTAAGTGCTAGCAAACTGATTCTGACTTACAGTCAAAAACAGAACAAAACACTGCCTAGCCCGGCACCAATTGTGAGGATGCTTGGGCCAACTGTTGCAGACACTGTGTGAACCCATTTCACTGACAGTCTTCTTTTTCACGGACTGTCTGCTTTAAAAAGCATGATGTCATTCTCTAGGATAGGAACTCAACCCAACCCAAAGTATCTGAAACCAAGTCTTGCGATCCTCCTTGCTTCTAAGAAGACAGATTTGCTTGGTCTTGGATCACCAATAGCCCAGTTCAAAAGCATCAATTCTTAGTCTTCCTTATTCATTGTTCAGCTTTCCTATGCATATGAGGTGATTAAAAAAAAATAGCATGGCTTGGGCCAGACACGGCTTGGCCTTTAAAGTGACGATTTTGCTTGTTAACACTCTAAAGGTCTTTTGGCTCAGGAGCTGCCATCAAAGGGGCGGCTATTGGTTTCTCCCCACTCGGAGGAAAGGAGAGTGATAAAAATCGAAAGCCACTTGGAAATCACGAGTCTAACATATCACGCAAATATCAATTTCCACAACGCTGAGATCAAAAGAACCACATGGCACTAGACTCCCATTAAGTGCTTCAAAAAGGATCACATTAGAAGGATCTGTATAGAGTGGGGAAAAAATGTGGAACAAAACTCAAACTCGTTTTTTAAAATCGGCCATCACAAAAACGAAGCTTGAGTGAAACTGCATTTACGAAAAATTCACTGTGACCAAAGAGAACCTTCCCAGGCAACACCACTGGGTTCACTACACAACACAACACTGGGTTCACTACAATGCCACAGCAGTTCACAAACTCAGAGTGAACTGCTCAATGCTTGCCTGGAGGGAAAAATACATAAGTTCTGCCCAACAGAGCCGTTTTTTAATTTTTTTGGCGGGGGATGGGTGGTGGATGGGGCGTACTCTCTTGTAGGAAACAAAGGGTACCATTTGTTAATCACTACCCAATTCACAATTAAAGGTTAAATAAATAAATAAATAATGAGTGGGTGATTTGCAGATGATTTGTCCAATATAATGCACGGTTCGATTTCCTGCTGCTTCCAAGAGTGTAGACTGTGTATCCAAGTAAAATGAAATTCCAGATGAATTCAATCCTTTTGCTTTTTATTCATGGTTTTGCTTATTGGTCTATGTAAGGATTTTGTTTGATGTTGAGCTACAATCCAGACTGAAGATTGTCGATTTTGACCTTCACCAGTAAGAACTTCATGATCTCTAACTTTCAGAAGCTAGATTGTATTCATCTGCATATCACAGGCTCTTAATCATTTTTCTTCAATCCCGATGTTCCATTCTTCAGAGTCTACCTTCTCAGATTATTTGCTCAGCATACAGACTGAATTAAGTAAGGCAGAAGAATACAACCCTGACACATACCTTTCCTGATTTGAACCCATGGCAGTATGTGCCCCCTTTTCTGTTCAAACGATTGATCTTGGTCTATGGATAGTTCCACATGACATAATCACGTGTTCTGGAATTCCCACTTTTCCTTCTTCCTAGTTTGTCTTAGGCTATGAATTCTGCCAAAACCTGTCTGCTACAGGTGATCCTGTTGGCATGTGAAATAGCAGTGCATAATTTCTAGTATCACAGCAGCATGGAAGTCACCATTGTACAATGAACTGACAGGTGAGTGGTGGAGTTCAAGGGTACTGGGTGCTAATTCAACTACTGTATCTATCCTGTTGGAATCACCAGTGTCCTGGCAGCTAATATTTACAGAACACTTACTCTGTGCCCAGCATCTTTCTAAGTGTTCTGCGAATGTTGCTACATTTTCTTTTCTTAATTAACCAATCTATAAGATAGGGCCTATTACCATCTCCATTTGAAAAATGAAGAAACTCAGGTTACAAATTATTTGCCCATGGTGACAAGGCTAGTAAACAAGTTAGATTTCAGTCTAACCTTAAAACTCCTGAGTCTGTCATCTAAGCGCTATTCTATGGCGCTTCTCCCCTACCGAATGCTAACCAATGGTCAGCCCCTGTGCTCAGTGCTTTGCAGATAGTACTTTCTTTCCCCACAGAAATTCTAGTACATTGACGTTACTTATATTCCCATTTAAAGAGAGTGGAACTGAGTCTTAGAACATTAATAAGACTTTTGCCTTCCACTATATAGCTGGTTATTGGTAGTCACAATTTAAACCAGTTGTGATTCTCAGAACCATTTCTACTTCCTAACTTGTACTTTCAGGTTATATAAGGAAGGAATGTTTGAGGCTTATTAAAAATCAGCAATATTTGGGCAGGTTGTGCCTTTAAAAGGTTATGTGCGGTATGAAATCTGACAAAATTAAAGATCTTATTTGCAATGGCACTGTTTGCCGTGTGGTGGTAAGCTTCACAGTAGGCTAAAGACAGGTGGGTGTGCTGTTTTCTGGGATGTTGCTCTGCAGGAGTAAGTGACAAAATGGCCACCAGTATCTGCAGATGACCTATCCTAGAGAACGTGCCCCAAACGCCACAAACAGGCCTAAAAACCCTCTGCTGAGAGTACATGGGGTGGCTCTGTAAAGCATGAAAGGAAATGTGAATAATGTTCTTCCTTACTCTCCATCCTTCCAGTTCAAATAATTACCCAGTATAACCTCTCTACTCCTTTTCATTTGAACTTGGCTAAGCCAGGGAATGTTCCTACTGCCTGTTTCTGATGCCCACAGGATGTGGGGTTCAGGTCTCTCTGTCTCTTAAATGACAGAAGCAGAACCCTAAATGAGAGCAGTCAGAAGATGGCAAACAATCACATAAACAAAGTCCGTTAACAGAAAAAACCCACCTGCCTTTAATGCTGACACTAGGAAAGATTTGTATTGTGAGACACATACAAAGCATTTATGAGAAGTGTACAATTGGCAAGCCTTAGTTCAGACCAGAGCTCCACTCCTGACACCCCCCCCCTGTACTGTGTGTGGGGTTAGACATGAGATGGCACCTCTCTGTACCCCACTTAGATTCTTTGCTACTTGGGGCAGTAAAAATGTCTGTGTTTGGGGTAGATAGCACTCACCCTAGTTGTAAAGCACATGTGCCGACTCCATAGGAAAAACAAACCAACTAACTCATACAAGTTCCTGCTGTAGCGACAGCCTGCATTGAGCATAGCAGATGCCCGTACATGGTAGCCATTATGGTGATGATGATGATGATGATAACAATAAGGTAATAATAACATAATGATTAGTAGGGTACTCCTGCTAAGTTTATGTCAAAACAGAAATTAAGCATTTAATGAGAAACTAATCCCAAATATGAGTTTAAAATAAATGAGTTCCAGATTATCTGGGGGAACATTCAAATATAATTCCCAAGATTGTTAAAAGGCTTCGTGAGTAAAGTCATGAATGAATAAGCAATGCGTTCACGGAGGAAGAAAAGGCCAAAGGTAACGTTAAAAAGTGGTTGTAAGGAAAGCCCTTAGGAGAATTAGAGAATGAAAAGAAGAACGGAACTTCACAGAAGTCAGTCCATTTGCAGAGTCTTAAGCTAATTCTATTTCCAATCTCCTGCTTCATAAGAAAGGGTAAAAGAGAGCACTCGAGTGGGGAAGAGGCTGTATTCAAATTTCATTGTCTAAACACTTTCTGTGAAAACAAATCCCTTTAGTCACTCAGGTCATGCAAAAGTTGTATGCCGTTCTTTCCCTAGTTCTAGGTGGATTACTGACAGAAAGTTCGGTTCATCAGCTGTTCACGTACTTACCTAACTGTACATCGGTTGTGAATCGTAGTCTGTGGATCATGCTGACTTTGAATGATTTGTAATGGTGGCTGCTAAGCATATCTTGTACTGTAGCTATGTCGATTTGTGAATCCTCCTCAAAAGTCCCGTCTGCCCTTGAACCTGGGGAGGAAAAAGCACTTTAACACATAAAGATACATGAGGCTTGGCAAATGGTGTCTGCTTAAAATGCTTTGGGATGAATTAAAATAATATGGGCTATTTAATTTGGAGAAGAAAGGCTGAGCGATGACTTAATAATGCCATTCCAGTAAACAGCGAATGCTAACATATTAATCATTCTACAATTAATTCCACAAACACTGTCTATACTGTGGCAGGCTCTTGGCTGGTCAGGACAGTAAAACGCCAGCCTGCCAGAAGGAAGCTCCTGGTTTCAACAAGTGCTAAGTCAAACCCACAAGCATCTGAGCAGTCACATTTCTTGTATCTTTTTTCTAATACCGATTCGCTGATTATAAAAATAAACCATATTCTTTGCATAATTATTCTCCTTTACAAGATCCCCAAACACCATCTGTGTAATAGCTTCCTGCGCTGTACCCCAGACACCACATTGGTGCAGTCTTGAGCATTCTGAGGTTGAATGTTAGGCTCTAACATTCTTCACTGGCCTTCCAGCCACCGGGTTCTCTGTGCAACCTGATTCTGCTTTCTAAAGCCGGGATCATTCCCTTAACTCATCAAGTACTTAGTGAGAGCCTTGCTTATGCAAAATACTCTGATATTAAAATTGGGGAAAAACAAAAAGACCGGTAAAAAAAAATTCTTCCCTGGCTTCCCAAATCAAGCACACTCCCCCTATCTGCCACCAAACAACCAAGACAGCCTATGGCTGAAATATAATTTTCCAGTCTTTTTTAAAGTCATTTCTTGGGGGCTGGTACAACTCTTATCACAATCTACACATCCATCGTGTCAAGCACATTCATACATTTTTTTACCTTTCTTTTCTTAAAAATCATTTTATTTGGGGCTCATACAACTCTTTATCACAATCCACACATACATCAATTGTGTAAAGCACATTTCTACATTCATTGCCCTCATCATTCTCTAAACATTTGCTCTCCACTTAAGCCCCTGGCATCAGCTCACTTTTTCCCACTCCCTCCATGTTGCCCCCTCCCTCATGAACCCTTGATGATTTATAAATTATTATTTTGTCATATCTT